TTTCTGTATTTTGCGCTGTGAGCTGTGCTAGCATCAGTTATGAGTAGAACTTTTTGGAAGAAGAAGCACATCCAATTCTACTGAAATCTTTCAAGCCTGATGGCTCCTTGACATATATAAATGGCCACAATAAAGAAATGGTAAAGTCACTTAAAAATGTACCATTTCTTAAAACTATGTATGTTCTTTGAATTAATGTTGGTTACATATATTTGATATATTACAAAATTTTCAAGAAAAATTCACATTTAATAACTAAAAAATTACTTACACCTTTAATACATGTGAACAAACATTTTAATATTAAAAAATAAAACATTTAAAAATGTTTTTCAAAGTAAAAAAAGGTATTTTTACAAATATTATCAATTATAATACATTAATAATTAAGAAATAAATATCATTAAATTTTTGTTAAGTCAAACATCACATTTTACAATTAGTAAATCAGACTTGTATTCCCTATTTGGCCCTCTAATTCACAAACACCATAAGACCAAGACATGAAGTGCCTGTCTAAAATACAATTGCCCATTTAAGTTTTTTTTTTTTCCTGCATGTTGGCTGGGCCCCATGATTTTGATTTGTCAGACAATATCAAATGTTTAAAATATTAATAAGCAGTAATGCAGTTGTTAAAAAAAAAAATTCTAAGAAATAACAATAATAAAAGATTGTGCCAAACAACTTAAGTTTTCTTTTCAAGAATTTCAATCTTTTAATGAGGCTTTTATCCTCATTATGACATCAGAACAGTAGTATCACCCCTGCTCATCATAGAGGAGATATATTCAAGTCACTGCATTATGAACTGAGTTTTTCAAGTATTTAGAAAAAATTTATAGAAATCCCAACACAATGAGCATCACATCATTGACCCTTATGCGATGTTCTGCAGGCACAGATGCTTGGCCTGTGATTTACAGAAGATTCTACTAGACTCACTTCAGCATGAACAAAACTTTAAAGCAACCGCACTTTCCCTAAGGCGGATGGGGAACAAAATGCATCTTCAAAATGTACCATGTAATAGGCTACGGCTACTGTACCAGACAGAAAAATCTGAAATCCACTTGCTTTGTGGCCCGCACTGATCGGACACATATTAAAGAGAGTGAACACCTGGAAAAGGTGCCCAAACACCATATATCTCTGCTCACTGTGTCCTGCCCAATGGCTCGAAACAACGTTTCTCATCAACCTGACTCAAACCTGGCCCAACCCAAGTTCAACGACACCAATCGCAAAGTGATTCAGCCCATTTCCATCATTTCTGTGGCTGTTCATGGTGGTCTGTTTTGACATTTTTTCCTCTGATTTTCTTGGCACATTTATTCTACGCTGGAGTCTAGGAGAAGCCTCCCTTCTTTTCATCAGCCAGAGAAAAGCCGGTAGCTCAATGAGAGAGAATTCAGGCCGACTACCTTCTCCATCAAGTGTGAGGGAGGACAAAGGAGGCAAGGAACGCTAAGGCTTTGTTTCTCCCTCACGGGGCATTGTTTTAACCATTATGGCCCTGTTTCCAAATTCGATACCCCAAAATCCACTCAATGGAAAACGATGATTGCATTGGAGGTATCAGGAGAATTCTGAACACTTCAACGCGGGAAGCGGTCTGGGCTGCTTTAACGAAATCCAAATGATAGTTATGGTGCACTTCAGCAATCAGCTATTAGTATGGCTGCTAGGGTGCACAGCAGAGGTCTGAACATGGAGGTGTAAAATAGTGCAAAACTGGCTTTGCTCCAATCCGAGGTTGGTCAATGTGCTTCTTTTGGTCCATGCTAGAGCAATGAGAGAAAAAGAGAAATGGAGAGAGAGCGCAGGAGATGTCGATATGTATCAGGTGATGCAGTAGCCAGAGGTATGGAGGCCCTTGGAGACTCTCTGCTGGATGGAGTGCCTGGGGCCATTTTCAGCCTCAGCAGCCAAGGATGTTGCAAACACGGGGAGGAGCGTGTAACAGAGTAACAGAATTACGCAATGATCTTAAAGTCCTGAACGAACGCATTCACAAACCTGTGATTCATCTCTGTACAGGATATCCAGTGAGAACAGCGACCTGTTTAGAATATAGTGCACTGCATACTGAGTAGTACATACGCAATACTGTATTTTTTATGCATTATTCAACGCTATTTCAAGGTGATGTCCATAGTCTTCCTCTCAAGAGATTGCATAATGCTGAATTTTCATGAACTGCAATGTTTTTGGTTTTATGTCAATGTTTAATGATACATTATATACAGTATTATATTTGTGTTAACTGTATAAATTTGCAGTTTAAATAACATTCATGAAAAATGTAATGAAATTAAAACAAATATAAATCATTGTTCAGCAAAAAAAGAATAGAATAAATAAAAGCACAAGTTCTTGGAAAGTATGTATAAGGTGTCAATTATAAGTAAGTACTGTGTTAAAGCTTATAATAGCACCAATTGAATCAAACAACATTTCTGAGGAAAAATATTAATTATAAGTAAGCTTACACTTATTCTAAGATAGATCCACTATTGTATGCTGTTGCCGTATGGCAACATATCATAAAGTACCTTAAAAATATATTTTTTTCCACATTTTTTTTTACAGCACTTCAAGTTAAGCCATTCTTAGAAAAGAAAAAGATTCAAATATTTTTTTCTATAGGTCTATCATAATGCGTGCGGTAGAGGGTTAAATATGTCTAAATTAAAACCTGAGAAAGATAAGAACATTCTAAAAGGACAGTTCACCCGAAAATAAAAATTATGTCATCATTTACTCATCCTCATGTCATTCCAAATGAGGTTAGTTCTTGTGTGACAAGCAAGTTTCGTGTTTAGCAGAGTTGATGTGCTCTATGTGCATCGATCAATGTTTTTATTTAAATAAAACCGTAAATTAAATCTGTTCATCATATAAAGTGACGTGACATGTGGCCAAGTATGGTGACCCATACTTGGAATTAGTGCTCTGCATTTAACCCATCCAAAGTGCACACACACAGCAGTGAACACACACACACCGTGAACACACACCCGGAGCAGTGGGCAGCCATTTCTGCTGCGGCGCCCGGGGAGCAGTTGGGGGTTCGGTGCCTTGCTCAAGGGCACCTCAGTCGTGGTATTGAAGGTGGGAGAGAGCTCTTTACATTCACTCCCCCCAACGACAATCCCTGCCGGTACGAGACTCGAACCCGCAACCTTTGGGTTACGTGTCCGACTCTCTAACCATTAGGCCATGACTTCCCCGTAAAGAGATTGTGTCTCTTCAGAAGACTTGGATTAAACCGCTTGATTCATATGGATTACTTTTACAATATCTTTATGAACTTTTTAAAGCATCAAAGTTTTGGTTGCGTGGACTTTCAATGCATGGACAAAAATTATGAGAGAATATTGAAAATATCTTCATCTTCAACAAAAGACTTATAGGTTTAGAATGATGTGGGTGAGCAGATAATGACAGAATTTTCATTTTTGGCTGAACTAGGCTATTCCTTTAAGAGATTGTAAAGATGGTCATTTTTGGCAGATATTACTCCAGTTCAATTGCAAAACTGCAAATGAAAAGTTAAGTCAAGCGCATTGCATTGTGGGATGGATACTGTATGCTCGTATACTACACGTTCACAAATGTACTAGACGATCCAGATAATCTATAAACACAAAACATTCGAATACTGTATACAGTATACTTCACACATCAGGGAAATGTTTAACCCGAAACATCCAGGCAGAAAACAAGAATTTGAGGACAGCTGGGCTGCCGAACAGATTTATGAACCACAATTGGTGTAAATTCACTCGTATTCCTCCTCATCAAAGATCAGCTTTTCTTCAGGTTAGACCAAGTTCATCAGCTCCCGAAGCCCAATACACTCATTATACCAATAATTACACATTGGACACTGTAAGCACACATTCATTCTCCCTAAATCAGCATAGCCGGGATCCTAATGGATAACTGAAACCAACAGGGAATCAGTTCCTGAGCTAAATGCAATCACTGGAAGGGATGGATAACCCAAAAATGAAACTTCTGGCATCATTTATCTTATGATGTTTCAAACCTGTATGACTTTGTTTCTTCCGCAGTACACAAAAGGGGGCAGAATTCATTTTAACTGTATGGAAAAAGCAATGAAAGTGAATGGTGACTGAGGCTGTCATTACATCTCCTTTTATGTTCTGCGAAAGAAAGAAAGTCATACAGGTTCGGAACATCATAAAGGTGAGTAAATGGCACTTTTTTTGTGTGTGTGTGGGGGGGGGCAAACTGTTCCTTTAAATAGCCTAGGTACCTTAGCTTCAGTCATAATAGATAATTCAGGTAATTACAGATAATTGTGAACCCCTTTTAAATGTGACCCAGATTTATAACAACAGCAGTGCATTACTGGCATCTTTCTTCTTTATTTTGAGCATATACATCTCAATTAAGTTCATTCTTTGTTCTCCTTTTATACACTACAGCTTCTCCATGACCACTGGACTCAATCTACTGGCTTTACGTCTATGTGCCAAAACTTTCTCCCTCCATCCATTACATCCAATATCTATAAAAAGTCAATTACAAGACAAAGAGTTGACACGGTACCGTCCTCTCTGATTAAAACAGCGTGTTTCCGACTCGTCAGGGTGTCTTAAGTGAGGCGTGCGGCTCAAACTTTAACTTCAAAAGCTCAAAAGCGTCTCTTCTGTGTAAAATTTCTGAGTTTGTTACTAATACTCAATGACACTCGGACGCGCTAACGTTACATCGTGCTAACGGCAATAAATGTTGCGCCAGTTAGTAGTAAAAACATTCTCGGGGTCCCGAAACGAGAGTGTTCCTCTTCATCTCGCTGTTCGCTATCACCATCATCATCATCCTCTCACTGTAGTCCTACAGTACTTTAAAACATAAAAGAGGAAGGACAAACCTAAAACTGCTAAGCCTTGTTGCGAAAAAGCATGAACGAGAGCGACACACAAAAAAAAGGGCACAACATATTTTTACCAAGCGTGATCTCTTACCTCCGACCCGGTACATGTTGGCTGCCATGACTGCCCCCGGTCCTGCCTGGCGTCTCCAGGTAGGGCTTTCTCTCTCCGCCGCCGCCGCTGAGTGCTGTGCGCTGGAAAATGGTGGATTGATCAATACGCAGCGGGCCAACGAAGGGATCTTAAAGAGACAGTGCACATATTTTTATGCAGCCGCGTTCTACGGGGCGGTGTAAGTGATCGCGCTCAGAATCACCCGCGTGTTTAGGAGCACCTTCCCAACAACGCGGGATCCTGGAGCAGTGACTCGGGCCACGGGCTGGAGAGAGCGCCAGAGGGAGGGGAAGGGGGTCTGTATGGGCAGCATCACTCGCGTTTCCCCGCCTACTTCAAACGACCGAACCATTGCTGTACTACTTTGGACCCACTAGAGGCGAAATGAAACAAATAAACAACTGTTGCTCTCAGACTGAGTTTGAAACAAAGATAAACAAACAAGTAGCATATAACAGAACAAGGAAAGACATTCCTCTCTGTGGAGAAACATTAACTAGAATAACTTAGAAGAAAATGCGAAAAGGTGCTGTCACAATGTTGGAGCTGAGAGTCCAAACCTTGCTGTGTCTAAATAATGTTCTGGTGGTGACATTTGACTGGGCCATGTTGCAATATGGTTGCTAGGGTGTGTGGCTGGTTGCTAGGGCATGGGTAGGAAGTTGCTATGGTATTAGAATGGCTGCTTGTTGGCTTGAGTCAAAAAGTAGGCTCAAATGTCTGATATGATTCTTTTTTCAAAGTTAAATTAGTTTTGTTGTTGTTTAAAAAAACCGTTTGTTTTTTTTGTTTGTTTTTTGCATTGCTTTGCTTTGTTTGTTTGTTTTTTCCCTTCAAAAATCATTAGTCTTTTCTCAATACACAGAGGCTTTGTCCGGAAAAAGAACAGATTCGTAAACCAGAATATGTGTAAATTCACTCGTAGCGGTTCTAATCAAAGATCAGCTTTTCCTCAGGTTAGATTACATATTGGGTTGTTTTGCATTGCTTTGCTTTGTTTTTTCTACCAGCCGAACGTCATTAGTCTTTCCATAATACGCAGAGGTTTTGTCTGGAAAAAGAACACTAGATTTATGAATTCAGAAAAATCCCTTACTTGCCGAGCATTATCATCTGAAAATGCCCTGAGTATATGAAAAGCATATGCCTAAATTCAAAGTATTCATAAAACAAAAAAGTAACTGGATGACCTTCTACTTATGTCAAGAAGTGCGTATCTGATGGACGCTTTACTGTCCCATGAGGCCACAAATGTAATATGGATTTCATTCATATTACATACATTCATATAGCACATACTTTTTTAATGGTCACAAAGTAAGTTCTTATTAAACTACAGTATCTGTTCAGACGGTATGTGATTTCAGACACAGCTAGGGGATTGTGGCAAGGATGATGGATTCGATGTTGAAAAGATCAGCAGTTGCTTTTGTGTTTCAAATGATATAGTCTTTCCAGTAGGCCCCTTAACTATCTTAACTAGCAAGACTTCCTTGGTCAATCAGCTTCATCAGACAAGTTTAGTTGGTCACCAGCATGGCTGTGCTGTTCAGCCAGCTAGACTAATACCAAGCCAGCAATACCCAGAATAAATAAGCTTGGATGTGAGTAGAAATTTACGCTGGCCTTTTCATCAGTCTTATTCCACCGGAATAAATCACTTTACAAAGAATATTTATTGTCCAGCACCATCATTATTAACTAGGCTTTTCACATTAAGCTTAACTGTGCGTTAACATATTTTATTAATCTCTGGTTGAGGCCACTTTTAACCCTGGATAACATTTCATTAACATTTGTAGCACTTCTTTAACGACTTTCAAGGTGTACAATGTGATACATTCATATAGGATTACATTAGCCAAGGCTTAAAAGTGACTCTGGGTTAACATGTTAATAAGTGTGAAAAACCTAATGGAGAGGTCATCATGTGGAGTTAGTGAAGATGTTTTTAATGACTACCAAAAGATTATACTTTCAGCCTGAAGCGTCTTCTGGTGCATAATAAAGAAATGTGGTAGTTTCTAATTCTGTTTAAGTTCCGAGCAAGTAGTCTAAACACTGGTTGACAGTCACTAAACCAGATTTTTATAAACTGAAGTCCAAATCCTGTTTTATTTATTTGTTCTCTAGCCTTGGAATAAGCTCAAAGTCTCGAAAGCCAGTTTATAATTATACTTTCCCTGCGTACACAACTACAAAGATTTAGCCTCTTCTAAGTTTGGTCAGAGGGAAACGTAAAACACTGCTTTTCAGAAGTCATTGGGTGGCACATGTTCCAGGATTTTTACACATTGAATTAGTCAACATGTGAAAAACACAAGCAATAGACCCTTAAACCAGCAAGAGACACTAAAATTATGAGACCTCTATAGCACTACTGATGCAGAGAAAAGTATTGTATGAACAATAAGCTGTGC